ATACTGTTTTGTGTTTGGGGGGTTTCGTCATTACATTTTAATTTTCTATATTGGGCCCCAGAACCCTACTCCAATTATTAAGGCCCCGATATTACTCCCCAAACCCACCGAATTAAACCCTAAACCCTTGCCCCTAACCGTTCAACACTAAACCCCAAACACCCTACAAGCCATGAACCCCAAACCGAAGGCACCTGCATCCCAGGTCCCAACTCTACAACACTGAACCGAATTCCGGGAAACAGTAGTTTAGGGTTCAGCGTTTAAGGTTCAAGGCTTAGCGTTTGGGGCATTAGGTGCGAAACTGAACCGAAATGCGGAAGACCGGCTCGTACCACCCAAATACAGAGACCCAAATACTTCAAACCATAGGTCTGAGATGGTTTATAATTGGTATAAGCAGGTGAGGGAGCGCTGCGGAATTACACTGCCACTCACTATGCAAATCCCGATCTTATACTGGAGGGCTCATAAAAGCGACACTGCCACTCACTATGCAAATCCCGATCTTATACTGGAGGGCTCATAAAAGCCGACACCGCTGCATGCAGGAAGCGTTCGCAAGGGGGTCTGACCCTTGTTTAAAGGTTGCCAGAACTCCCTGAAACCCTTAGCTACCACAGCCAGAAGCCCACAACCTCAAACCCTCAAAGCCCTAAACCGTAAAACCCTGAAGCCGTAAAACCCTGAAGCCCTATGAGGGCAACAGAGTCCGAATCCTAGCCTAAACCCTAAACCCCGAAAACCTTTGACCCCTAAACCCCAAGCCCCCAAAACCCGTAACCCGCAAACCCTAAACCCTTAACTATAAAAACCCTTATAGAACCCCAGAGCTCCCCTAAAAAGACCCTGCTGTAGAACCTTGTAGTAGCCCAAACCCCGAAACCCCTATTGTAAACCCCTAAACCCCTGAGTCCTAAACCCCCTTAAAAGAACCTCTGAACCCTTATGCATCCCTTTTGAAGGAACCCTTAAAGGAACCCCTAAAGCCCTAAACCCGGAAAGCTAAAGCAACCCCCGAGCTTGAAAGCCTCCGGGTCAATCGTGAGCGCCTTTCCCTGGGCTTGGGGCTTTAGGGGTTCCTTTGGGGTTCATTTAAGGGTTTAGGGTTTAGGGATTCAGGTTTTAGGGTTTAGGGATTCAGGTTTCAGGGTTTTTTTGAGGGTTCCGCTAAAGGGATGTATAAGGTTTCAGGGGTTCCTGTAAGGGGGTTTAGGGTTGAGGGGTTGAGGGATTCCTTTCGAGGGGTCCACAAAAGGCATCCGTGAGGCTTGAGGGGTTTAGGGGTTCCTTTGCAGTGGTCCTGTAAAGGGGTGTATAACGGTTTAGAGGTTCAGGGGTTCCTTCAAGGGTGCGCTTCAGGGGTCCATTCGAACGATCTATAAGGGTTTAGGTTTTAGGCATTCCTTCGAGAGTCCATTGAAACGGATCTATAACTAAAGGTTTAAGGGTTGAGGGGTTTAGGCAAGACGTCTGCAGACCATGTTTCGGGCTTTAAGGATTTATACGGTTTCGGGATTTACGGATTTAGGGATTGAGGGGTTTAGGGGTTTGGAGCAACTGCCTTACTTGGCTTGAAAGGCCTCGGGCTTTAGGGCCCCCTTCTTCAGGCTTTTAGCGCTTGAGGCTTCGCGTTTGGGCTGAAGACTTACGGTTTGAGGCATTCGAGTCCCCGCACAGCGTCGCCCGAATCAAACAACTACATAACCCTCTTTGGTAGCTTTCGAGCTTTGGATGTTCTTGACTACATTGGCCTCGGACTTGGCCCTAACCCGGAAACCGTAGATCCTGAAGCCTGAAATCCTACAACCGAAGACTAAACCGCACTGGGTCACTGAGACTGGGAGCCTGGAGGATAGTATACTGAAATCAGATAGTAAAATCAAGCCAAGTATTCTGCTATGATAGTATCATGAAGCACAGTATGCTACTCATGTAACATAGTATAACAGAATCCCAAACCCCATTGTCCCAAAATCGTGGGTGTCAGCACAGAATTGGATTTGTGTGGCAGGGTGGCTAGGGCTTGATGGTTCTAGGTGAATTTAAGACAAGGAGGGAGTCTAATGCAGGCAAACCCAAAACGCAGCACTGAAATGTCAATCCAACCAAACCTGCAACTCATCCCCAGATGCTTCACCTAAACCGCATAGACCCTTCACGCTAAAGCCTTAACCGCCTTAACCCTCTATCGCCTAAGGCTGAGATATACACTTGAAACTGAAAGCCCTAAAAGCACTCTCTCGGTTTCGGCTCTCAATGCCAAACCTTTCAATTTAGGGTTTAGGGACGGTTTGGGCTGGCCTTGTGCGTGTACTTGTTGTCTTTGACCTCGATGTGCTCTTTGACACCGAAATAGGCCTCCAAGTGGGACGGCGGAAGGGTGTTGTAAGGGTTGTGCAAGGGGCCAAAAAGGGTACCTCGTCACAACCGTGATCAGGATTTCATAAGGTTTATGTAAGGGTTGTAAAAGGGGGGCTCTACGAGCTTCTATGCAGGCTATTTCTATGAGGCTTGAGGGTTTGCGGTCAGGGTTTAAGGTTTGACAAAGCTGGGTGTAGGAGCAAGGTTTGGGTTGAAAGGGACCCGGGGAGCATGCATTCTTTGGGTCATCATGTAGAGGCCTGAATATTTAGAATAGGGCTTCTAGGAGGCTTTGTGGGGATGCTGTTCCATGAGATGGGCCTTACCAGTCAGAACAGGGTTCCGTGCTAGGTTATGGGTTTAGGGTTTAGGGTTTAGGGTTTAGGGAAGTATAGCAGTATGGCAGAATTCTGTTAATTAGTGCAGTACTTATCCAAGCCCCATTGTAAGCAGATGTATTCCCTTACAGCTTAGGCTTTGGAGCTTAGGACTTGCACCCGAACCATGCCCGGAATCCACAACCCCAACTTTCAAGCATCCTTAAGCAACAACTGGGTTCCTTCGCAAGGGATCATGTCATGAATTGCGGTCTTTTCAGTAACAATGGGGTTTTGGTAGGGATCTTCGCTCACGCTACAAGAAGGCTCTCCACGAAGTGATACTGCCTTCAGGGATCCGGAGACGCTTGGCCCGATTCTTCGGAAAGGCTCTACTGAAATCTTTAACCGTAAACCGACGATTTAGCGAGTAACCCTGAACCCTAATTACACCCTGAACCCCCTAAAGTCCCAATCAAAACCTACTTAGCTAAACCCCCAAACCCCTAAAACTAGACCCGGCTCGGGACCGGGGGGGGGCCTTGTACTTGATCAGCCACTTTCCGTTGAAGTCTGGCATGGTCGGCTCTTCCACCTGCTCCGCTTCGCAGTTAAGGCTTGGCTTAGAGCTTGGGGGGGGCGTAGGGTTTGGGGTTTGGGGGTGTGGGCTTTAGAGTTAAGGATGTAGGGCGGTGTAGGGTTTGGGGATTGAGGGTGTAGGCTTTAGAGTTTAGGGTGTAGGGCGGTGTAGGGCTTAGAGTTTAGAGTGGAGGGTTTAAGTTTTAGGGCTCAGCGCTTAGTGTTCATGGCTCGAGGCTTGTGTTTCAAGGTTAGGGTTGCGAGCTTGCGGTCAGGGTGTCCGGCATCTACTTCCGGGCCTTGATTAAGATAAGACCCTTTATAAAGCCTCCATTCAAAAACACGTGTAACACTCTATAGAACCCTGCAAAAGCCAAATAAACCCAGAAAAAACAAAGCATCAAGACCCGAACCCTATAACAGCCCCCATAGAAACACCATTTTGCCAGGCAAAAAGATAGACCCCATCCAATCCTGTAAAACCCTACTGGGAGCTTCATGGATAGTTATAACTAAGGTCAAAAGTCCCCTAATATGTCGGGCTTAGGGTTTATAACGTTTAGGGTTTAGGGGTTATAGTTATAAATTACCCTATAAGCCCACTTATAAACTGCCCATGAACCGCCAAGTAGACGCCAAACTCTAAGCCCAGAAAGATGGTGAACCCTGAGAAAACATCTCAGGACTCACCGAAATCAACCCAAGCTGGAAACCCGCCCAAACCTTAAACTCTAGGACTCCAAAACCCTAAACTCCAAAAGAAACAGTAAACCCTAAACCCTACCTTAAAACCCTAAAGACTCTAAAAACCCTAAACCCGAAACCCTAAACTCTAGGACTCTAACACCCAAACTTTGAAGCCCAAAACCCTAAACCCTAAACCCACCAACCACTAAATCCACGCGCAACTTCTTAGAGGCAAGTTCGACATGTGAAACCCGCCCTAAGCCTGCACCCTGAAGCAAAATAGAACCCACGAAACGCAAAGAACGCCCACCGGCGGTGGCGGGATCATGCGGTAGTCCACCTCAGGCGTCTAGTGTCGACATTCGAGGCGTAGGATTTCGAACCTCTGGGTTTCATAAGCCGATTTTAAAAAACCCTAATACCCCAAACCCTAAACCCCGTTCCAAAATGTCGGATCGGTCTATGGGATTTCGGATATTTACGGGATTCAGAGCCAATCGTTCTAGGGTTTGGGGGGTTAGGGTTGACGTTTAGGGTTCAGGTGTAAGGCTTGGGGTTTAGGGTTTCAGCCAGGCCAATCGACAGCACTAGTTTCTCTGCAGTGGCACAGATATTACCAACCCCAGAAACTGTGACGTCCAAAACATCACAAAGCCCACACCCCACATGCAACACCCCAATCAGAAACCCCTCAACAGAAACCACTGAACCCCAAACCGTGCGCTCTTTAGCCAAAACCCTAGCTCTCTTAATCCCAAAGACTAGAGAACAAACTCTTAACCAAAAGCCCCAGACCCAAAGCCCGAAACTTTGACCCTTTATAAACAAAGCCCGGCAGAATTTCTCTCTCAAGAGGTGGGATGCAGGCAGGCAGAGACGAGGATCCCCCCCCATTCTCTTCACCCTCCCCGGGATGCTTGTAAGACTCTTAGTTCTCTTCTTTAATAACCGGGCCCGAAAAAGATCAAAATATGTAAGGCCAAGAGGTATAAAGTTCCCCCCTTGACTTTCCAGTTAGCCAAAGGAGCCGTCATACCGTAGAGGTGGCAAGCCTCATCCTTCCAAATACGCCGCCAGCGCTCCTGCTGCGGTTTTCCATGTTCGCAGGGACCTTAAGATTTAGACGTTACAAGTCTAGGGTCTAGGGTTTAGGGTTTCAGGGTCTAGGGTTTTGGAGTTTGGGCTTCGGGCTTCGCCCAAGTGCATCCCACTAGGCTTCCTGATAAGATGGTGGCCCCCCTAAACGCAAAACCCTAAACCCTAAACCCTCGGCTTACAGAAATTATGAGCTTTGAGCTTGGCACGAATATATTCCTAAAGCCTCGACACATTGAACCTGAGCCTAAACCCCATATGGATAGTTCTCTAAGCTGGTGTCCTTTCGAGGTCCTTTGTGTAAGGCTGCCGTACTCTTTGGGGGGGACCTGCAAAGGAACCTTCATTTAGAGAACTACCCACACGATTCTCATAAAAGGGGGAGGGCGAAGAACCAAGGTGGCCCTAAACCTTAAACCCCACATGAAAGGGCCTTAATAGTTCGAATAACGTTTGGGGGCCATTATACTATAACAATTACAATAAGGAAACCCCTAAAGCGTGTAGGTATTCATTAAGGCCCCTTTAGTAAACCCCTAAGTCCTAAACTAAACCCCTAATGTAGAGGCCTTAATAATTAGAATAACGTTTGGGTTCCCATGATATTATAATGATAATATGGAACCCCCTAAATAGTCTAGGTACTTATTAAGGCCCCTATACCCCTAAACCCTAAACTCTGCTCAACGAGCTTTGCAAGCCCTCGCTCCGGCTTCTGCGAAGTGAAGTCTGAACTTGCTGAAACCCAAACCCCTAAACCCCCATAGATCCCTTATAGATCCCTTTAAAGAAGCCTTTAAGACCCTCTAAACTTACTAAGTCCCATGATCCTTTAAACCCTCTCTGCCAGAAACCCGAAAATCTAACATCCCTAACTCTAAACCCAAAAAGCCCTTAACCCAAAAGCCCAAAAAAGCCCCAACCCTCTCTGCCTGGACCCGAAAATCCCTAACCGTAAACCCTAAGTCCTAAACCCCACAAAAGCCTTAAACCCCAAACCAGCCGCAAACCCCTAAAACCCCTCAACCAAAACCCTCTCTGCCTGGTAGAGAAGCCTTTAAGGAACCCTCTAAAGCTTACTAAGTCCCATGATCCTTTAAACCCTCTCTGCCTGGCAGCTTCTTGCACTTGGGGCAGGGCTTCTTGCCGCCTTCGCAGTCAGGGCAGTCGACCTCCTCGGTGCCTGGGAGAACGAAGGCTTGAGGTTCCCTTTATGGGTTCCATAGTGGCGTGCGGTTTCGGGGCTTTAGGTTCCTTTATGGGGCTTATGGGTTCTATAGTGGCTTAGGGTTCAGGCCTCTTTAGGTTCCTTTATGGGTTCTATGGGTTCTATAGTGTTCCTTTAAATGGGTTGTATCGTGGGGCCCTGGCGGTTCCTCTCAGGGATCTATAGTAAGGGATCTATAAGGGTAGCTTTTAGGGTCTGGGGTTTAGGGTTATAGGGCTTTAGAGCTTCGAGTTTAGGGTTTAGGGTTTAGGGCTCAGGTTTCCGGGCGTAGGGCTCAGGATCAAACCCCTTCTTCAGATCTGACTCCGACCCCAAAGCCTACTTAAAGGATCATGGGACTTAGTAAGTAGGGTTATAAGTAGCTTATAATTAGGATAACCCCACTTAGGGGACTTATAACCCCAGTTATAACCTTACTTACTAAGTCCCATGATCCTCTAAGTAAGCTCCAAACCCAAACTGCGGAACTTAGATCTGCACCCAAAGCCCTCAATATGAGGGCCTGGATAGTTAGAATGGGGATTTTTGCGGCCGTATACTAAAGGTATAACAAGGAACCTCCAAAATAGTACCTAGAGTACCCTAAACCCCCAAAGTTCCTTCTGACGAACCCGCCGAAGCCCTCCCCTGTCGATGTCATAAAGCGCCAGAGCCGCAGCGCTTTGTTGGTCTGTAAAAAAGGCTGAATTAAGATACTTTTGGGGATTAGGGCCTTAGGCGTTAAACATGTCCAGCCTTAAACCCCAAACCCTACTTGGAGGATCATGGGACTTAGTAAGTAAGGTTATAAGTACCCTAATTGGGGTTATAAGTATAGTTACCCTAATTATAATCCTAGTTACTAAGTCCCATGATCCTTTAAGTACAGCTTAGGAGTTGAGGGCTTGTGGTTTGGGGTCCCGGGCTCAATCAGCAGTCTTCTCGAACTCCGGAAGGTCCCTGGATCCCACTAGGTTTAGGGTTTTGGTTTAGGTGTTAAGGCTCAGGGTCGACGGTTGATTTCCTGAAGGTCCTATGTGAAGATTAGAAGTGGAGTGACTCCGTGACTTCTTCTAAGACCAAAAAATCCAAAAACCATCGAACATACTGCAGTGGATTTAACCTAGTTTCGGATTGACCGCCTTTCTTTCAGAGCGTTGACACGAGGACCCCTGATGGAATCCTTCTGAAGGGGAGAGGAAGCGACTGCAGCCCGGGCGCCCACGTAGCCGGGCGTCTTGCTGGTTCCGCAAATCTCCTTGAAGCAACAACTTGGGGCGAGAGCTCTTGAGACTTAAGCTCCGCAGACAGAACTGCGGATATTCCAGCTCTGTTTAAAGACGACAAGGCCTGAATAAATGCCGGAAAGTTTAGGATTTAGAGTTGAGTAGGGTTGTGGCACCGGACATTACTGAGATCTCCCGGAAGGCTGGGAGCAAGTGCTACTGTTGATGATATGAATCCTGCATTACCTTAAGGGATAGTTTAGGTTCCTTATCATGGGTCATGCAGGATTTGTATCATCAACCGTATGAACAAGATGCCGGCGAAGAGGCGCAAGGAGCCCAGGTTTGGAAAAGCTCGATCCAGCCGCCCCTGAAGTAGCCTGTCAAGGCGGAGAACTCCAAACCCACAGAGTTAAAACACGATGATAGTACTCTTTCGGGGTTCAGGGTTTATGGGGTGAGGGTTTAGGGGGTTCGGGTTTATGGTTGGTGGTTGTGCGGGGTTTTGGGCGGGTTTTTGGGTTTAGGGTACAACAGTGTGACAAATCACCATCAGAAGAATAACTACAGTAAGTACCCGGACACAATTACTACTTGTACAAAAAAACCAGGATCGAGAGCTTAGAAAGGTCAGAGTTTGGGGCTTTGGGTTTGGGGTGGTTGTATTCGGGTTCAGCGCCTAGGATTTAGGGTCTTGGGCTTAGGGCTTAGGCGGTTTAGGGTTCTTCAATCTCAAGCTGGCTTGAACCTTGCACCGTGATTCTTCACACCGGGAGTTGGGCCTGTGCGCTCGTCATCGCCGTAGAGCGAGCCGTCCTGCTCGAAGATCCATTTAAAATCATAATAATATTAAAGGCTCCTATTATTTAAGGTATATTCCGTAATTGAGGTGAGGTGCGCATTCTGGGAAGAGCATGTGTGTGGCTCGAAGGTTGCGGATGGATTCTGGGCTTAGCCCAAAACCCAAGCCCTGCAAAAGCCGACAAAACCAGAGGGCGAGGTATCGGGGCCATAATAAAACCATGTAAAACCCTGAAAACCCCCCTCGTTCGTGAGTCGGTCCTTGCACCACTTCAGAGTGTCTTTTCCTGACTTCTTCAGCTTCCCAAGGAACTTCACGTAGCGGGTGCCGTTGCCGCATTTCCTGTGTATGCAGCCATCAAACCAAACCCCAAACTCTAAAGCCTGGATAGCAACATGAACCTTAAATCGACATTGAACCCCTAACCCCAACTTAAGCCCCCCAATCCCAAGCCTTACCATAAAATGAACACAGAGACCAGAACAACCCCAAACATGAAACCCCCAAACAAGGGGCCTTAACAACTGGAACAAAGGGTTGCTATAAGGATATCACTAAAGCTTTTAGTAAGTTCCGGGTGGTCTGCTGCATGCGACTGTCACACGAGGACTGTAGGGAATAATGTTACTATAAGTTCCTCCGACCTCGACTGAAACGGTTCAGGGCGCTTCGGTTCAGGAGCTGCGGCTGGGCATCTTCCCCGTATCGACGACCACCTCCATGATGCCCAAAGGATACTGGCCAGTCGGATCTGCCTTATACCTCGGACTCTTTCTTTTCTATACAGGTACTTTGCGAGAGTGTTGATAGAGTTGTTACGAGGTGGTGATCTTTCATGTAGGTATTCATATTCGGTAGTTCTGTAGAGGTTATGTGGTTTGATAGTCAGGCTTGCCTTGTACTTTGGGCTTAAGTCTTGGGGCATGGACTGTCGGATCAGGCTTAGACTTGGCAAGTAGTGTGTACACATCTTGTGTGGAAATCTCGACAGCCGAAACCAAAGCACCAAATCCAAAGATCGCCGAAACCCTAAGTACACCATAAACCCCTCAAGCCCTAAATATCCGAAATGATAAACCCATAAGCCCAAAAACGCAAAACCCTTCAACATCAACCCCGTTTAGCTTGATCGCCCCTTAAACCCTGAACCCGTAGACTTAAAACCCTTGATCCCATGACCCCAAGCCCCAGTGTCGTTAGCAAGCATCCTAAAACAATCAATTTCGGAGCCTTCCGGGTTTCCTTCAGATTTCTGGCATTACTCGCTTTAGTATAAGGGGACTCAATAATGAGTACTAGGTTGTGGGGTACATTGTACGGTAATATATAAGGACTATGAGTTAAGGGGATATCATTGAAAACTACTGTGGCTCTCCGTGTCAACCCAAAGCCCGAAACCCTCAAGCCAACCAAGAGTTCGAAGCCCCTTCTCCCAATCCTCTACTTGGAAGCTCATTAGTACGCATAAGTAGGGTTATAAGTGCCCTAATTATGCTTCATAAATATAGCTACCCCAATTATAACCCCAACTTATAACTACCCATGAACCTCCCCGCATCTCCAGAATTCTCCAGATAGGTCCCAAGCTGCTCCCCTTTGAAGGAGCTCTTGAGGCCATAGAAGCAGCCATGATCCGACTCACACTTTCCCGCGATGGGGCCCCAAACCTGGCCGTCTTGGATCTAGTCGTTGAGGGGTTTAGGGTTTAGGGTTTTTCGGGTTTAGGGTTTTTAGGGCTTTAGGGCAATAGTAAGTTAGGGTTTTAGGTTTCAAGGCTTCAGGGCTTCAATTCTGGCGCAGGGGTTAGGGTGTAGATTTAGGGCAATAGTCGTTGAGGGCAAAGTTTGGGGTGTAGGGGTGAGGCTGTTGCAGAATTTAGGAGTCAGGGTTTCGGGTCTAAGGCTTTAGTTTGTTGTGGAGCTCATTTTTGTGAGTGTGTCAACTTTGAGCCCGCTGTCTCTAGCACACGCTCGACCCAGACTGCCCAAACTCTCGGTAAGAGGGCATCGGTGGTATATGGTTATAGTCTGTTGTGAACTAGAAACCCCACATGTAATCGCCCAAACACAGAACCCCAAACATCCAAACCCCCAAAAAAACCCAGAAAAGGAGCCCTACCCAGTAGAGGAGCCCTATAGATCCCGTAAAACGAGCCCTATAGGTCCCTTAACGGAGCCCCTAAGCCCTAAACCCTAAACCCTAAACCCTAAACCCGAAGGCAAAACCCATGAGGGCCTTGGGCTCGACTGTCAAGCCACGAAACTTGATCCTCTCAGTCCAGACTGGGTTCCTGAGCTTTAAGGGTTAAGCGCTTAGGGTTCAGAGTTTGGGGTTTGGGGTTCGGGGTTTAGGGATCCTTTCACGGATTCTTTAAGGGTTCATAACAGGTTCCTGAGCTGTGGGGGTTCTTTAGGAGCTTCTTTAAGGGCTCTTTTGGGCTTGAGGGTTTAGGAGTAGACTGAGTTCCTGAGCTTTGGGTTCAAGAAGGGCTCTTTGAGGATTCTTGAAGGTTCCTTGAGAGGTTTAGGAGTTTAGGGGTGTAAGGGAAATGTACGGGGTCTACACAGATTCCATAAGGGCATAAGGAGGATTGTTGGGGTCTGTTTGGGCTTGTGTGTGTTTAGGACTTTGGGGTGTAAGGGCTGTTTCTTGGCTTTTCAGGTGTGGATGATTTCAGGGTAGGGGCTTCAGGGATTTAGGGTCGAGAGACTTAGGTCATACTTCAAGCCTTTATTGGCACTGTCTTGGGGCAATGACGGGTCTCTTACAGGTAAGACAATGCTATCCAGTGTTCCGGGATGCGTGTTTAATGGGGTGTAGGTTTAGGGTTCGTGTCAATCCACTACCCTGTAGGGTTTTGGCATTCAGCTTTTCTTGCGGCTGGCCTTGGTGAAAAAAGTCTGCATGACTCTGCATGACATGTATGTAATAAATACAGATAAACGGGGAGATCTCTGTAGACGCCCCTATAAACTCTCAGAGACGAAAAGACTTCCGAAAAAACCCTACACCCCAACCCTCGAAATTTCCGAGAACCTGAAGAGTCCTCAACCCTGAACCCATGAGCCCGTGTAAGCCCTAAACTCCTATGCTTCGAACCCGAAAGTTTCAGCTTCATCCGAGGGTCTGGTTGAAGAAGAAAGCCATCTTGCCTGTCGGGTTCTCGGGATTTAGGGCTTGGTTTGGCATTTAGGGTTTAGGAATCTTCTGAAAGAACCCCTTTAAGGGAAACCCAGTTATTGAACCCAACAGTACCCTTTCAAGCCGGGGACCCTATTATAGAACCCCATACGGTTGATGATATAAATCCTACATTACCCATAGTAAGGAATATACCACAATTCCAATAGTTTAGGGTCCTTAAGGTAATGCAGGATTTATATCATCAACCGTAGTACACTTTTAAAGGAACCCCTTGAAAGCAACCCTTCCTCCCTGCCCACCGTCCCAGACCATCATCTGCCCTCGGCCACCACAGAGCTCGCATTTCCGCGGCCGGGTGAGGTTGCCCTTCACACAGCCCTTGGCCTCAGGATCAGGGCCATCTCAAGGATTAGGGCCTCTGGGTTTAGGGTTTCTAAGATTTGGCGCCTATGGCTCTGAGTTTGGATTTGGAGGCTTTTACGCAAGGGCCTGTTGGGAGACTTGAGGAGAGGTGATAGGTGTTTTCAGGAGTTCAAAGCGACTTGGTGCCTGTCCGGTGCTTGAGCAAATTTCTTTCCTACAGCCAAATCCGAAACTCGGAACCCGAGCCCAAAGACTCCGCGGCTCAAAGCCTCAAAAATCGGCGCGAGCCCGGTGCTAGACAACCGCAAGCAGACGTCAGAATGCAAGGCAGTTGGGATCCTTGTTTCCTGACACTCCCATAACGAAGAGAACACATGAAGCCAAACAGCGTTGTGTTTTGGCATAAAGCCCAAACAAAAGTGGAGTGAGCTCTCAAGACCCAAACAGAGACAGAATAAGCTCAAGGCCCACGTAGAAGCAATTGCCAACCTCTCAAACCCCAAGCAAAACCCATTCCTTCTTCAATTGAAAAGCTTGTTGGCAATGGCCCAGTGGAAAAAACCTAAACTCCAAAGCGACTAAGCTCAGCATCCGACATTGCACTTGATAAACTTCTCTCCCAGACACGTTGGGCACTTTCCTCAGGTGGGGCGGAAAGACCTGGGGGTGAGGATGCATTCTTAGGGTTTGGAGTTTAGGGCTAAGGGTCTAAAATTTAAGGTTTAAGGTGCCGGGGGCTTTTGGTGGTTTTGGGTCCTAAACCCCTAAACCCCTAAACCCTAAACCCTAACCCCTAAACCCTAAACCTAGTAGGGATCCTTGTTTGGTAGGGTCCTCATCTCAGGGATCCTGCTGCTTGGGCGTCCACGTCTGAGTCCCCTGTTGTCACGTCTCCAGGCTTTAAGAGCTTTTGGGGCCGTGGGAGGTCCAGGGTTTTAGGCTGGTTTAGGGTTTAGGGATGCCATTGAAATTTGAAGTCCCTAAACCCCAAACCCTACACCCTAAACCTTAAACCCTAAAATGAAACCCTGAATCCTAAACCCTAAACCGTAATGGAACTACCACTCTTGACTCGGAGACGACGAAACGTGAGCGAAACGAAGTTGCGGACAGACACATCGTGAGATCCTTGGCATGATGATCCCTAAGACCGGAGACAACACCATGCCGAAAAGTGTGGATGTGCCCCCCTTGAAGCTTGTCGGATGTCTTAAATGCGGTACAAACATTTGAGTCGGGGAAGTCTAGCAGCGCAGCAATCACCGAATGAGGCCGAGGAATATTCCCGAAAACGATGCCAGGACCCCAAACGACCCGCAACCCAACAAAACGAGTCTCCTCGATCCAGAACTTGCCAAGTTGCCCTTCTTCTTGGAACATGCCTCACAGTCTTTCTTGGCGGCCTGGATTTATGGGAAACAGCCCCCAAATCGTCAAGTCTAGATCCTAGCACCTTGAACACTAACTCTAGACCCTTGAAGCCTAAATCCGACTGGTAGCATCGGTCCTTCCCGTTCTTCCGTGTTTTGGACTTATGGTATCAGCCAGAAAGTTGGAACATCACTATCCTCATGGCCTTAGGGCAAAGTACAGGGGGTTCCAGCATTAATCATCCTAAGCCCATGGTTCTCCTTTCTGGCTACTACTGTGGGATTTGGGCTTCAAGTGCTTTGGTTTTAAACCCTAAACCCTAAACCCTAAACCCTAAACCCTAAACCCTAAACCCTAAACCCTAAACCGCATGGGGTCCCTTGGAGGGTTAAGGGTTTAGAGAAGCCTCGGAGTGTGTAGGGGGTTAAGGATGAGAGTTTTTCGGGTTTAGGGTTTAGGGTTTAGGGTTTAGGGTTTAGGGTTTAGGGTTTTGGGGTTTAGGGTTTAGGGAGTTTTTCGGGTTTAGGGTTGTAGGGCTTTAGAGTTTAAGGTTTAGGAATTAGGCTATAGGGTCTATAGGGTTAGTGAACCAAAAGGGATCGATCGTGAACCATCTCGTTTCCCTACTCCCGAACCATGCCACCTGAAATCGAAGTGAAGAGTATGATCTCCCTATGATCCTAAAGCCTCAACTATGGCACCTGCTACTTAAAACCTTAAACCCTAAACCATAAATCCGAAACCCTTATAAGCCCTGAACTCCAAAAGTCGGAACCGGCGGCCAGACTGGGAACCTCTAGATTCCGCGAGGGGATCGGGTCAATAGTCTTGGCGCGTTTTCTAAAGCGCGTTAAGGTGTGAGAACTCCAACGGCTTTACCAGATTTTGAAACAAAGCGGTTTTCTGCCAGGGTTTTGTAAGGGTTCTACAAGGGTCTGAGCAAACCTAAACACCAACCCTGCCACGAAACTCACAACTTCAAACCCAAAAAGCCTGATCATGGGACTTGGTAAGTAGGGTTATAAGTAGGTTATAATTAGGATAACCCCACTTAGGGGACTTATAACCCCAAATATAACCTACTTACTAAGTCCCCTTTAGGTACCACCAGCAGCGCAGGCCTTCAGGCCGGCACCATTGCACACCAAACCTTGGCACAGGCAGGGCTGGGGATTTGGCAGTTTCCGAAAACTAGGGGTACCTTATTTGGGGGTCCTTATAATAAGGATCCGACTATTTAGGGTACTATATTAGGGTCCCCTATTTTCGGAAACCCCAATTTGGGTTCAGGGCTTAGGGCTTCGGGTGTGGGGCTTCGGGCGCAAGGTTTAGAGTGTAGAGTGCAGGGTTCGGGGTTTAGGGTGAGAGCTTCTTTGAAGGATCCGACATCGTGGTTTCTTGAAGTGGCTTAGGGCTTCAAGCTGCCAGGTTGCCAGAATACTACTGTTGATGATAGAAACGCTTCATTACCTTAAGGACTCCAAACTATGGGAGTTATATACTTCTTATTATGGGTAATGCAGGATTTGTATCATCAACCGTATCACGGTCTCTGGTTTAGGATGCGGGGCGTGAGGAGTAGAAGATTTAGGGCTCGTACGGGCGCATCAAACTTAGCAACCGACATGAGCCTCCCCCCAAAACTCTCAGTTTTTGTTGATAGGATTTCATGACTGATCTTTGGGAGAGCTGCAACTATGATTGAAGGATGGCGCGAAATTCGGCTGCAACCAGGGGTCCTCTCCGCTTGAAGAAACTCTCAATGAGAAGCCGCAAACCGCTAAACCCTAAACTAACATTCAAACCGCTGAGCCCGAACTTAAATTGCTGTAGGAACCTGATTCAGCAACCCTGGCCCTTTTACACCACTATAGTAGGAAGCCCCTACGAAAAGCCCCGGGGTATCTTCATCAGGCTCCTGTACGAAGCCCCTAAACTCTGATAGTACCCTTATAGAAGCCTTTGAAGGAACCATAACACCTACTCTACACACTAAACCAGTGTACGACGGATCGAGTGTTGAACCTGGCGCTCTCCTTTGCTGTATAGTCGTTTAGGGTATTGTAGTTCCTATAGTACCCTGATTATCGAACCATTTAAAAGAATCAGAGTACCTACCCTAAACCCTATAAAACCTTGTACTTCCTAAGCTATCTGAGTTCACATCTGAGCCGCAGATCTTCTTGCCCTCGCACTGTGGGCACGGCTTTGGTGGGATGATGCGCCAGTCCGTGCCCTGCCCCAACGTCGTTTAGCGCTTTAGGGTGTAGGATTCAGATGCCTCTAGGGCTGTAGGGGGTAAGGCTGTAGGGTTTAGGCTTCGAGCTTTAGCACTCAGGGTTTAGGGTCTAGGGGTGTCCGTTGGGGATGCCTGCTTCCTAGAGATACCAGCTCAAAGGGTTTTGTGTTTAGGAGTCAGGCCTTGGGGACTTAGGTTGCTTTAATGTGCAGTGACTCTTTCTCCGCATGAAGTTTGCAGATCTGGAGCCCGCCTCACCAAAGGGGCTGACACAAAGTGAGGCAGTTCAAAGAGCTTGGGATTTGGATTGCGCGGGGCTTTCGGATTGATAAGGATTCAACTTTGGAAGTTTGGAGTCCGGGGCTTTCGATCTTGGTCTGAGACCCGGCTTAAACCCATTCAGCAAACCTCCGTTAAGTTTGTGGAACTGCAAAATCTACTTCTCAACGCATTTCTCATGTCGGGTCACCATAGCCTGAACCATACAGCCTTAAAACCTTGAACCCCTAGACCCTGCAACCGTAAACCCCGAAACCTTCTAAACTGTGAACCATGAACTTCACATGTCTACACCCCTACTAAGCCTAGGCCTAAGCCTGGGTAGCATTATTAGGGAGACCCCTTAAAGGGTACCCCTTCTGAACCCTACTTCTGGCTCTCTTAAAAGGGGCCGTATTGAGAGGGTCTATATCCCCAAGGGTCCCCCTAATCCTAACTCCCATAAGCCCTTCAGACCTGAAAGCCTAATGCCTAAAACCTTTCAACCCGTAAGCCTTTAGACCCTACACCCGCAAACCGGAAAGCACAAACACTGAAACCCCAAACCCGTACCGCGTGAACCCTAACCCCCTATAGACCATTAGATGCCAAAGAACCTTGTAAGCCCTGAACCCCGCAAAACCGTGGCGGAACCCGTCATGGAAACCAACCCCTTATACAGGCCTTATGCTACCCTTCAAGGAGCTCTTTAAGAAGCAGAACGCTTTGTAGGATCTTGATCGAAGCGCTAGTAGAACAGAACCCCGTATGGAACCCTTATGCTACCCTTGCAAACATGTTTTCTTGGAGAGCCCGCCCAACCCTAACCCTAAATTCCTAAACTCCTAAACTCCTAAACCCTAAACGCCTTATAGAACCCCATATTCCCCTTTGAAGCGGCTCTGCTGTAGAACCCTTAAAAGGGCCCTATTCTACCCCATAGTCCCCCTTAAGGGGACCCTAAACCCTAAACCCTAAAAGGGACCCTTCCGCTATCCGAACTCGGCAGCCTGGTCGTTGCCGCCGCAGGAGCAGTCGGGATCCTCCGGGTAAAGGCTCGGACCACAGATCCTCGGAAGTCGGGGTAAAAGGGCTTAGAGTTTAAGGCTTAAGGGCTTTGGGTTTAAGGTTTAGGGTGGAGTAGGTTAAGTGGAAGAGCGCAGCGGTTTAGGGTGGATTTAGGGTTTTGGGTCTAGGGTTTCGTGTCTTTGTTTTGCTGATGGATTGAAGCCTTTTCCCAGCTCCCTGGCTTCATGACTTCATGACAGGGGCTGTCAGGTACCTTCGTGGCCACAGGGCTCATTCGGGATTTACCCCAAAAACCTGCATACGCCCCAAACCCTAAACCCTGCCTATACCCTATAAACCGCTACCCCTAAGCTGCCTCGGAGCCGGCGTCGGGTTTAGGATAGTTTAGGGCATCGGGCTTAGGGCTTAGAAGCTTCGGGTTTAGGGCTTAGAAGCTTAGGGTTCAGGGTTTAGGAAATTGCTCTGTGTCTTGACAATCCCTCAAGTCCCGCATCCAACGGTCTGGACAGAACCACAATTATATCTACTTGTGCCAGTACTAGCTCTGTCGACCAGAAGGAAAGGCATACAGCATAACGCTGCGCATATCCATAGGATGAGATATCCCCCGAAACGAAACCCTCACCTCCAAACCCGAAGCCCTGAAAAGGCCGTGAACCCGGAACTCTTCATTCAATGCCCTAAACCCTGACTCCTCTAATCTCTGAATCCTCTAACCTCTGAATCCTCTTATAAGCCCTAGGCCAGAATCCAAGAAACCCTGAACCCGAATCAATGGGGCGGGGCTCATGTACTGCAGCGGGTACGTTTCCGGAATGTCGGAGGCCACCGTCTCAGGCACCTTGCAAATTTAGTTCTGGCTTAGGGCTTCGGCATCTATGCCTAAACCCTGAACCGCTCCAACCCCAACCCTACAACCTAAGTCGAAGAATTTCTGTTGAAACTTTTTTGTAGTCCGAGTTTAAGGTAGGTGGCAGTTGTCGTCGTCGTCGACGACGTCGTAGCCGTAACCATGTCAACACTCCCCGAAGAAGGTTAGCATGCATTACACTGCGAAAGGAACCGTAAGTGAAAATTACAGCATAGATGCCATCATGCGAGTAGAAGGCCGGAAGCCCTACCATGTTTTCAGTCTAGGCAACCCTATCGAAGAACCTGCTTGCAATGTTCTTGCCGACTCTTGCCGAAAGGCATGCAGTCTCAACAAGACAACCCCTAAACCCTCAACCCCAAACCCTAAACTGTACACCTCAAACCCAAAGCCCCAAACCCTATACAAACACACAAAAACTTCTGATCCCAGCAGCAAATCCATCCGTCTCCTGGAAGTCTGACGGGCATCCGCAATCCTCGGTGGCCGGCGTCTCGTCGACGGCCTCCTCCTGCATTTTTGGGCTCTGGGGTTTATGTAGGGTGTTTGCAAGCTACTGTGCTACCAGCATTACGACGCTCTTCATACTGTTGCTGCTGCTGCCCGCACCACGACGGCCACCACGACCACGTTCCTTTTGACTCGTCAAGTCCGCACAACGTCTTGCTCGGCTTACAGCTGTTCCTTTGTTTCCACGTGTATAAGTTTGTCATGGAAGCTGGCGGGGTGACTGGGGGATTTCAGACGGTAAGCCGTAAGTCCTTGTGCACCAAACCCCTTCGGGGCAACCCCTTCTGTATCAACGAATCAACCTCCCAAGACCAAAATATGAAAAGTGTTGGCCCAGGGATTTGAAGTTCGGGTCTTTTCAGCACACGTAATAGCCCTAAACCCCAAAACCCCAAACCTTTGCAAATCAGACTACAGACTTAGTAAAGCCACACTGGACCGTGTAAAGGCTGTTACAATCCTAGAGCACGAACACACACACACACAAAAAAAAAAAAAGCAAAGAAGAGCTTTGTTCGCTTTTTGCCGCCTAAACAGAAATCAAAATGCCTTCGGACCCCTAAACCCAAGAAGCCTCCTCTGCTGCCGGCTCTTCCTCTTCCGCTTCGGCCTCACACAGGGCTTAGCTTCTGGATGTGCATTAGGGCTTTAGGGTTTCGGGTATAGGGCTTAGGGTTGGAAGGAGGCTTGTTGGGGGATCAAGGCATCATGGGGCTGAGGGGTTGAATGTAGTACGTTGGCTGTTGGGTTTAGACTATGGGGCTTTAAGGCTTGGGTTTCTTGGTTGGGCTTATGGTATTTGGGTGTCTTCAAGCTTTGATATGGAGTGTGCATGCACTTGAGGGTTCAGAGGTTTTATGGGTTTGGGTTTTGGGGGCTTCCGCTTGATTGCATAGTGTTGCACAGTGGCACAAGTCTTGGGCTAGGTCTCTTGACAATCGAAATCACGACTCTCTAGCTCAGAAGACTTGAAGCAGGTAGCGTGTTCGACGGTTGATGACGCGGCCTTGATACTGCAATATACATATTCGAGTTTGCTTGCAATGTAAGCCTTAAAGAACCCCACAAACCGGATCTTTCATGTCCGAGAGGCTCAGGCACCTGCCGAGCGATAAAGAGGAAACGCGCGCACAATGTGGGCTCTAGAGCAACAAAGACAAACAGGTATCAGATCTTCACAGCGACGCGAAGATGATGATAACATGAGATCAAGTTTTGAAGGCGACAAACAGCGCCCAAGCTCTATAAACCTCAAGCCCAGTTCACCATACCCGAAAGCCGTGGCTCCAAATCGCTCCAATCCGGAAAACTGTAAGAACAGGCCTTAAACACCAAAACCAAAAAAGCTACCTGCGCACCCGCACCTCCACCCCACCCACCACCCCCACATGCAAAAAACACGTATTGAACAACGAAACAAGAACCTTACAAACAAGCGAACTGCACTAAATACAAAACAACCACCACCACCACCATCACCACCAACTTTATACCCCTTATCCCCAAACCCCCAAACCCCTACACCCTAAACCCCTGAATCCCTTAAAGCCCACCCTAAACCCCTAAGCCAGGATCGACCTTTCTGAAAGACTAACCCCTAAGCGCCAAAAATCACAAAAACAAGAATATCCTAAAACCAACCCCGAAATCCCTGAACCTCTAAACCCCTAAATCTAAACTCCCCGTCAAAAACCCCCAAATCCCAAAACCCCGAAACCCCTATATAAATCTTTCTCTCCCCCTAAATAAAGGCGCGCGGAGTGCCTCGGCTTCTGCCTCGACCTCGGCATTTGCCAGGTCTTCCGAGCAAGTGCACGCGGCTGTGGCGGCCTGGAACTCCGGGCGGCGGAGTCTACTTCTGGGTTCTACGAATGGGCGGTTGTCAAGATGATGGTCCCTTTTTGGGTACCCTAAATAATCGGAGCCGTATTTTAAGAGATACCCAAACAGGGAGCATAATTTTGACAACCACTCAAAAACAGGGTCCCTTTAAGGGGACTACTTGGAGGTTCATGGGTAGTTATAAGTAGGGTTACAAGTAGGGTAGGGTTTCGGAATTTAGGTTTAGGCGCTCCAGGGCTGTAGGGTTCAGGGTTTCAGGGTTGTAGGTTTTACTATACCCCCCCTTAGAACATAATAAACGCTTAAAAGTAGTATGTTTAATATTCTCTTGGGTTTTATATGAACAAAAATCAAAAAATGTTCCTATGGAGACTATAGTTGAGGATTAAGGGCTTAAAGGGAACTCCAGAAAGTTGGAATATGGATCAATGGTAGGATCCCCTATAATTTACCTTAAAGGGGTTACGATAATGATATTCCAAATTTCTGGAGTTCCCTTTAGGGTGCGGGGCTCAGTTTGGGGGTTTTGGCAGCTTGAGGCCGTTGGGGTTTGGGTTCTGGGGCTGCTGGGGTTTAGAGGTACTTGGAGGATCATGGGACTTAGTAAGTAAGGTTATAAGTACCTTAATTGGGGTTATAAGTATAGTTACCCTAATTATAACCCTAGTTACTAAGTCCCATGATCCTTTAAGTAGAAGTAAAGGGTTTAGGGTTTTTGGGTCTTTGGGTTTAGGGTTTAGGGTTTAAGGTTTAGGGTTTTGGGTTTTTGGGTTTTTGGGTTTAGGATCCTTGGGAGTAGGGGTTTGAGAAGTGTTTGGATTGATAGGGGTTCAGACAAACCTGAAACAACGCGCCTTGCCCTGAACCCAAAACCTTTACACCCCAAAAGCCCGTAATCCTAAACCCTAAACCTCTTAAGTCAAGCAAAACCCCTAAACCGCTAAACCCAAAGCTCCTTAAGTTAAGCAATCCCCCAAAGCCTAAACCCTAAGACAAGACCCCCTAAGCTAAGCAAACCCCTAAAGCCTAAACGCCAAGGCCCCTTAAGCTGAGCAGAACACCGCGCCCGCGGAAACCCCGGCGCCTCACAGACCAAGTGACATCGTTTGACGTCCGTGGTGCAGTGAACGCAGGACCAGATCTCCTTCTAGAAGCTTTATAGGGGCTCCTATAATAGGGATTTATCATAGGGGTCTATAATAGGGGGTCTATAATGGGGGTCTATAATAGGGGTCCAGAATACGGATCTATAGGCGGCCTTAATAATTACCTATACTTTTCCTTACAGTTCCTCAAAACGGTTCTAAAAGGGTTCAAGGGCTTAGGGTTTTAGGGTTTAGGGTTTTAGGGTCTAGGGAATCTCCTCGTAGAAGGCTTCTTAGCTTCTTGGGTTTTTTTCCGAAAGCTCAGGGCGCATGGAGTTTGGACTGGGTTTAGGGTTTGTAGAGCTTATAGGGTTTACAGGCTTTGGGGGGTTTACAGGGTTTAGGTTTAGGGCTTACAGAGCATTTAGGGCTCAAAGGCTTATAGGGCTAATAGGGTTTATAGGGTTTTAAGTTTTCAGGTGTTGGAATTTATGAGAACTCTACAAGTCTTTACAAGGGCTTTCCAGAAATTGAAAGGATTCTACAATAGGGTTTTGGGCGCGCTCATTCCCAGAAAGGGTGTGGTCAGGATTGTAAGGTGGTTTCCTAAGGTTGCAGTGGGCTAAATTACCAAACAGGCTGAGTTCTTCCTCGAGCACAGCAGTATGCGAATTCAAGATTCAATCCAGACGTAGTTTCGACTGCAGGTGGACGGTACAAAGTCAAGGCTCTGCTATCTTTTTGGCCCTCGGTGAAGAAGGGGACCTCAATCTCGAAATCCCTCAACTCTCAATCCAACAAACCCATATAGACCCCTTATAGAAACCGCATAGAACCTTAAAGCCCTCAAACCTGAATCAACTAGATGCCCCAAATCCTCGGACTTTTACATACACTTCCTGGGAGCTGTTCCACGGCTGTCTCTGCTGTCTATCACTTAGCGAAAAACATCGAAACCCTGAATCTCAAACCCCCGAACTCTGGATAACAGCCGGTCGCCTGGAGCCCCAAAACCTTCAGAGTCAACCCCTTTTGCCTTCAACGACCCTAAACTCCTTGAGTCCGATAGATTTCCTTGTGAAGCCCTCCAGGCATGCCTAGATTGAGAAACTTGACAACAGACACATGAAACCCTGGGTACATGGGTTTCTTTGTTACAACTTGTCGCGCTTGCTTCCTTATTTCAACACCCACGTCTCCTGCAAGAAGGCTTCCTTGGACACTCCCCCTTGGACGCTGTTTCCAACCTTCACGAGTCCTTCTTGGACCTCCGAAACACGCTGGCTTTAGCCCTTTCAGAATTTGGGATTTTTGGTGCCTATAGACAAGGTCTATATAAGGCGGTACAGGTTGCATAAAGGGTAACAGACGGGGTGGATTCCAAGGGGCACTTTATGTAGGGCCTGTCAGTGAGGATCCTACTATTTGTTGAACCCCTGATCCTGGCTCATGCCACAAAGCGGAGGCCGTTTCAGTATTGAGTGCGTTGAAAGGTTCTTGTTTCAAGCTTCAGGGATTATAACCCGGAAGCAATCCTAAACGCCCTCAACACAAATCCTGGAAGCAGTATGATTCTTGCCATCTTCTGAGGATAACCCCTAAACCCTAAACCCCTAAACCCCAAACCCTTAAACCCTAAAGGATACGGAAGACGAAAGGGGGCTGAGAAGGTGGAGCTTGGGACTGGGAATGCAGCTGGATGAAGGGTACTTGGAGGTTCATGGGTAGTTATAAGTGGGGTCATAAGTCCGCTAATATGGGCTATAAGTATAGTTACCCTACTTATAACTACCCATGAATCTCCAAGTCCTGGAACTATATAGTAACAAGGGTTAACAACTATACTTATACAACCCCAAACAGAAGACGCAAAACCTGACTTACTAAGTCCCCTCATCCTCCAAGTAGGGTTTCTATACCAGTACCTTAAACTACCATAACCTATTTTTTTGTAGGTTCTTATTATAAACCATAATAAGGGATTTATAGGGACCCTACAAAAAAGTAGGTTTTGGTCGGTTAAGGTACTCTAAGGGTTCTTTAAGGTCTCATTTCAGGGTTCTGCACAGATTCGGATAAGGCTTTCGGGTTTGAAGGGTCTCGGAGCTTGGGGCTTCCGGCTTTGGACTGGGTTTAGGGTTTAGGGTTTAGGGTTTAGGGTTTAAGGTTTAGGGTTTAGGGTTTAGGGTTTAGGGTTTAGGGTTTAGGGTTTAGGGTTTAGGGTTTAAGGTTTAGGGGTTTAGGGTTTAAGGTTTAGGGTTTAGGGTTTAGGGTTTAGGGTTTAGGGTTTAGGGTTCAGCGTTTAGGGTTTGGGCTTTCAGGCTTTGGACGTGGCACTTTGTATCGACTTCCCGCGGTCGCAGACAGAAAGCTAGAGGGTCTCGTGTCGTGCAAGTCATATGGTTTAGGGTTTCCGGGGGACGCATGTCCTGGTGTCCCCAAATGGTAGGATCCTACAGTAGACGCCCCCTGCCCCTGCATCCCAAACCCTGAAACTCCAAACCTCTCAACCTGCAAGCCGCCAACATTAAAGCTCTTCTTGAACGAACTTTGAAGCTTTTGTAACATTGATTCACAGTGAACTGGGGTTGCAGTACAACTGATTGAAGGCTTGCCTTGGGTGTGGAGTTTGACCTGGGAGTCTGCTTCTTTGATGCCAAAAGCCGACATTCAGATGCAAGGGATGATGGTCATGATGGTTTAGGGTTTAGGGTTTAGGGTCTGAACTCGAGTTTGAGATCTTACTTGCTTAAATGGATGTCGAGATGACTGTCACTGTGGGTGGTATGCAACCATCACATCAGGGGTTCGCGCCCAGCCCGACCACCACGGAGGCCGAATCACGAGCGCCGGCCTTTTGTAGAAGAGTGTTCGCACTCTCCACATCCAGGTGCTGCGACATGCCTCGCAGATGATCCAACTTTCCAGGCTTAGTGACTTAGCGCTTTTCCAGTTTGGGGCAGTGTGGCGTAGGTGCAGGATGATTGCCTGAACAAATACCAACAATATAATTGTACAGGGCTCCTCATTTACAACTATACTAAATATACAACAACGAACACCGAAACCCGACTCTAGTATAAGGCTCCCATATAAGCTTAGAGGCCTTAGTCTCGTGTTGTAGAAAGGGGCACAGACACTGGGAACACGGTCGGCGACCGCCCCAAACTCCGGGTACGGGGAGAAAAGAACGCTCTTTCCTATCGCTAGGAGCGCAGGTCTCAAAGGTTTGATGTCAAGACCGCTGAAAAGCTAAAGCCATGAGGCCATGAATGATTCTTAGAGATTAGGGTTTACGGTTTAGGGCTTAGCGTTTAAAGTTCAGGGTTGAGGGTTAATGATTACATCCAGATCTTCGCCGCCTCAAGCAACTGCTGAGAAGAAGCTTAGAGTTTAGGGAGGCACATGGGCATACGGCTGATGATATAGATCCTGCACTACCTTAATGACCCTGGACTATGGGAATTCTAATGTATTCCTCATTATGGGTAATGCAGGATCTATATTAGATCATCAACCGTACTGCCTGCAAACCGAGACCTTAAAGCCCGAAGCCCTACAGACAACCCTAAGCCCTGAACCCTGAAAACCCGTAGAAAAAAAAAACAATAACCCTTTATAAATCCCTCATATACAACCAAAAATGAAGACACTCACACCTACTCAGCTACTATGTCTAGAACCCAGAAACAAAAAACCAGAATCTCCGAACCCACCTGGAGAGGCTTGAAAACGGCTTCGCTGCGCACCAGGCACTTGAGCCAAAGGGCTCCAAGTTTCAGGGTTTAGGGTTTAGAGGTTGAGGGTTGAGGGTTGAAGGTTTGGGGGGTTCGGGGTTTATGGGTGCTATGGGATTGGGGTTCAGGGGTTTAGGGTTTATGGGTTCTGGGTTTAGGGTTTACGTGATACAGCAATCGTGATCGAATGAACCAATACATGAAAAACTGTTGTGCAAGACATCAGTGTCGATATGTGGTATGGAAACTACAATGAACAGTCTGCTTCACATGAACGTGGCAGATTTAGACTTTCTGTCTGACATCTCTACAAGGTGTTACTCGTTGACGTGAGATGCGGACCAGCAACTGGTCTGTCTTTTGGCTTTTGAGGCTTTTGGAGTGGTCTCGAGGTTTTGGAGGCGCTTTAGGGTACAGACTCACTTTTTGCTTTAGGGTTGTTTTTGGGTTGACTCCTTTGATCTTTGGAGTCATCCCAAGACCCCGCAAACCACACGCAAGGCGCTTCCCAATCCCGAAACACACGAAGCCCTAACCCTGAATCCCCACACCCTTACTTGGAGGATCATGGGACTTAGTAAGTAAGGTTATAAGTACCTTGATTGGGGTTATGAGTATAGTTACCCTAATTATAACCCTAGTTACTAAGTCCCATGATCCTTTAAGTAAGCCCCAGATCCAACACCCAACACCCTGTCAGACCCCAAGGCAACCAAACAGCTCAAATCCAAACCCCATGAATGCAAGGAACCATGCACCCTAAACCCTGGCCCTAAACCCTAAACCGAGGCGTCGAACCATCACGAGGAAGGCGGCGATCGGCACGATCCTGACAAATGCGGCCGGGTCTCATGGGGCCTGAGGCGGAAACCCCTTCTTTTAGGGTTCTAAGTACCTTAAATTGGGGTTTATAAGTAACACTTATACTTTAGTTGCCCTGATTATAACTCTAGTTACGAAGTCCCATGATCCTTTAAGTAGGGATTCATGGAAACCGAAAAAACCCTCCCCTCCGTGTAAGGAAAGAACTTCTCACGAAAAGTAGTTGGCTAGTTTACAGTTTGGTGGCTAGTTTCGGGTTTGGGCTTTTGTAGTGCAATGCGCCTTCAACACCATAACACCCAAAGTACCGAACCCCAGACTCTGCACTTCACATTCCAGGCGATCAGCCTGCGGAGGAGCCGCAGCGGCCCAGATCTCGGAAAAAAAGCATGGTTGCAGGAGCTGGGAAAATAAGGTGTGTTTTGAAGGTTCTTGATTGGGCTCAGAAAAGTCTGTTCTTGCGATCGCTTTCAGTTTAGAGTCTAAGGCTAGGGCTTAGAATATAGGTAGCGTCGCTTCATGTAGGGGCCTTCATGATTAGAATAGCGCTTTGGGGATTCTTTACTAGCATTGTCGTATAATGAACCCCCAAACCCTATTCTATTTTTTAAGGCTCCTAGGCCCCTATATTATAGTACCCATAGATCCCTTATAGACACCCTTTAAAGGAACCCTTAAAGGGACCCTATTCCACTTATTAAGGCGGCTACATTACCGGAGCGCGATTCAAGGCTTGGATCTGGGCTTCAGCAAACGGAACATGATTTCTAGACCCAAGAGTAACCTAGGAATAAAAAGGGTGCCCTTTTTGGTCTAAAGGGGCTTATAAGGGAACCCGAAGCCACCAAAAAGGGAATAAGGGCCTACTCTAGGTCCTAGTATAGCGGCCTGAATTCAAAGAATAGGGACTCTCAGCCCTTCCTCCCCACCCCCCTCCCTCAAGTTAGGGTTTAGGGGTTAGGGTTTGGGGGTTAGGTGTTTAGGGTTTAGGGGTTTAGGGTTTAATATAGCGGCCTGAATTCAAAGAATAGGGTTTGGGGGCCCCTCTATATTATGATTATAATAAGGAACCCCCCACAATAGTATAGGTAATTCTATTTAAGCCCCTATATTACGCTACGCTCGAGGCTATCGGGCTAAGGGTGCTTACGACACTTTCATGGGTGCTTTGGCTTAGGACTTATAAACCTTTGAGAGCTTTAGGGCTCAAGGTCTAGGGTTTTGGCGTTGGGGGAACTCTAGGCTAGCTAGGATCTGGGGTGCAAGCTTCCACCAAGCCAGCAATATGGGAGTTTCCGAAAATGGGGGACCCCAATACACTACCCTACGTAGTAGGTTCCTTATTATAAGGACCCCCAAAATAACTGGGTTGGCCTTTAGACAGCCTGAAAAATATTTATGTATAGGGCCCCTTATAAACCCAAATAAGGAAAATAAAATTGTCCCAAAATCCAACCTAGATAAGGTCGGAAACCCCCCATGTTCCGCTCGCAAAAGTAGACTGAAGGCAGGGAAAAAGCTCCCGAAGGAAATTCTCCGAGGCAAGGGCTGCTTAGCCAGGTACCTCGCAAGAGACTCGATTCAGGAGTTTCCGAAAACTAGGGGTACCTTATTTTGGGATCCTTATAATAAGGATCCTACTATTTAGGGTACTATGTTAGGGTCCCCTATTTTCGGAAACTCCCATTCATCCCCCGTATAAACTCAGACGAACCTAGGTACCCTCATTTCAGACAGGGAATGGGCAGGGGGATTTCGATTTATGTTTCAGGTCTTGGGGATTTTTGGTCTGGGTTTAGGGTTTAGGGTTTAGGGTTTGAAGGACATGCCCTATAATCTCTGTGGCTCCCCCGTAAAAGCCAGAAAAAACACAAACACCCTGCCAAGAAAAGTGTTGCCTCAAGTCTCGGGCTTAACGGAGCCTACGGAACCTACAGTGTGGATTTCGTATGAACATCTAAACCCTAAACCTTAAACCCCAAGACAACGAAGTTCGGGCAACGCCCTGAAACTCCAGGATTCGTAGCGGTGTCTCTGGGGTTGGGGTGCCCACGGAGGGTTTAGGCGCTTTGGGCTTGAGGGTTTAGGGGTTTGGGGTCTCGGACATTGTGTTTAGGGTTTAGGGCTTAGGGTTTCGGGCAGTTCAAGGTTTGGGGTTTCGGACATAGGATTTCGGGTTTCGGGCAGTTTAGGGTTTGGGGTTTGGGATTTAGGGCGAAGGCGTGTATTGACAAATCAAAGATCGGCCGCGGTGCCCCGTGATGAGATTGCCAGGAATGGCCATAAGCTGTCCTGCGAGTACCGAGGCAAAATTTCAGCCTAAGTTTTTGGAGTAGGGCTGGATGGGATTAAGCGGGGGGGCCTACTTGGCAGGTTGGTTTAGGGTCTTGGGGCTTGCGGGGATTCACTTGGCCTCGGTCTGGCAGCGCAGTTCGTCAGATGGCAACAGCCCACAAAAGTCGCTGTTTGCTTCTGTCAAGGCTGAGGAAATCAAACAACACTCTCAAACCCAAGTAGCTCGACTGGTATGGCCTCAATCGCAGAGCTCTACGCTCAAATGTCAAAGTCATGAGCATTTCTGAAGCCCTCACAAGCGCTGGTTACGGACATCCGGGTTCATTGTCAAGACCATCTACCCTAAACCCTATAAACCCACCAAGGAATAAATCAGTGTGTGACACATTAGTGTCCCAGGCAATTCTACTTCGAAGGCCAGAGAGCATGCTTGATGTGAAGCTAGGTTTCTGAATAGACACCCATTTCCTACTATTCGGTTTGAATAAGGGGGCCCTGAAACAAAAAGGGCAAAAGGGTACTACTCAGAAACCTAGTGGACCCTAAACCCCTGTAGATCCCTTATAGAACCCTTTAAGGATATCCCTTATAGAGCCCCTTAAGGAACCCTTGAAAAAGGGTACCACTCAGGGACCTGGGAAAACCAACAAGTTGACCCGGGAGTCCCTGAAAGGGTATAGGTTTCAAGGCTTGCGGTTTAGGGTTCAATTTTTTAGGTTCAGGGTTTAGGGTTTAGGGTTCAGGGTTTAGGGTTGAGAGTTCAGGGTTGAGGGTTTAGGGTTCAAGGTTTAGGGTTTAGGGTTTAGGGCCTGAGGTTTAGGGTTTAGGGTCCGGCTCAACTTTCAAGGGCTCCGGCGTTAAAGTTCACGGTTTAGGGTTTAAGGCTTAAGGCTCAGGGTTTTAGGCCGTTTAGGGCTTAGGGTTTAGGGTGACCCTAAACCCTAAGCCCTACATTTTCACCCTAAGGCTCGGGCACTTCAGTTCCCGACCCTAGGCCTGCGGGGCTTGGGGTTCAGATTTCTTCGAGACTTCGGATGGGCCAAACTCA